CACTGCATGAAATCTATTTTTGGAGCGTTGTCCATGCGCCGTGCGAAAATTTTGCCATTTTGCACCCAAACGTATTTCCAACCAGTTTCGCGTTTGCGTGCAGTAGCCTGACCTAGTAGACGTTTCAGCTCTGGGCATAGGTGCTCGTTAACAAAGAACGGCTCCTCCGAGTCAAAGCCTACGTCAGAGCACTTGAGCCGGGCAGTACGCGCATTCTCGAGGAAACAGTCCCTCTTCTGCCTCCGTGCGAATTGAACTACTACGTTCTTTTTTGTTAGATTGGAGGTTGGTACTCTGTGCACCGACTCAAAATCGGCTTCCTCAAGTGGTACACCTACTTTCTCGCCAACTTTGATCACTGTATTTATAAGGTTTTCAGTGGCGTTGTACGGGATACCTTTGAGCTCCACATTTGCATTACGAGAATACTGCTCAAGGTGTAGCAGCCTACTCTCATGATCTTTCACCTTTTGAGCAAGATCAGCGCACGTGGCCTCTAGCATAGCGTTGGTCGCCTTGAGCTTTACATTTTCAGCCTTTACTTCTTCACAATCAGTATTTAAGGAAGCTACAGAGGACTTAATTTCCCTCAGCTCATTGCGAAAGTCTCGCTCGAGTGCTTCCTTGAAGCCTTTAAATTCAGCCCGTAATTCACGCTTAAGTTCCTCGAAAAGTGCTCTTATCTCTTTCGCCATGTCTCAATGAATCAATACAGACAACAGAACACTTGTGGCAGCACCAGCAGCAGCAAAACGAAACAGGCGAAAATTTAAGAAACAAGCAGGAATTTGGGCACAAACCTGCGTGAAAGATGTGTAGCGTTTTAGTCCTCGAGCTTCGCTGCCGCCTCTGCTGCCATGTGAAGGACGGGGGCGTTGTTCAGTCAATTTGTAGTTTTCAGTCAGGGTTGAGGAACCAATGCAAGTCGATGGTCCAGGCAGCGTCACAATCACACGAGGGCTGACGTGGAAGGGCCTTTCTTGAAGTAGATGTAGATAGCTGGGCTGATATCAGCGCATCCAAACCGCCGCACGATGCCGGAACGAAATATTCCACAGCCCTGCGTGAAAGATGTGTAGCGTTTTAGTCCTCGAGCTTCGCTGCCGCCTCTGCTGCCATGTGAAGGACGGGGGCGTTGTTCAGTCAATTTGTAGTTTTCCGTCGGGGTTGAGGAACCAATGCAAGTCGATGGTCCAGGCAGCGTCACAATCACACGAGGGCTGACGTGGAAGGGCCTTTCTTGAAGTAGATGTAGATAGCTGGGCTGATATCAGCGCATCCAAACCGCCGCACGATGCCGGAACGAAATATTCCACAGCCCTGCGTGAAAGATGTGTAGCGTTTTAGTCCTCGAGCTTCGCTGCCGCCTCTGCTGCCATGGTTATATATGCCATGGTTATTGGTTATATATGTGAATTTAAACGTGGGAGTGATAGCTGCACCGAATGAGTATAGTTGTAATGTTTATTGAAAGAATAGCACGGCCAGCACTGCAAGTTGCAACCACACTTGACGTTTACGAACATTGAAGTCTATTTGAAAAGTATCTCCGGAACCGGCGTTGCTCTGTACTTGATCGCCACGTAGAATGCTGGAATTCGGTTCTTGCTGGGACCCTGACATTTATTATTTGCATTGGTTGGATCAAAGCGGCCAATGTCAGCTTTTTCCTAATGCTCTCACCTTAAGATGACCAATGTCTATAGTCACGATTCCCAGGTAGATATAAACTGTCAGTTACCTGTGGCACATCATATTTGTTTCTCTTGGGTGTTTTTGCGCAAGCACAGGGGGACTAAGATAAGAAACACAAAGGGGTGCAAAAACATCAAGATTAATACGAGTATGTTCCAAAAAGGCCGAGTCGCAGTTATGCTGCACACCTGTGGCACATACCCACCCGGGGTATATGTGTATACCAGATGCGTCTCGCGGAAAGGGTTTGACGACGGACGAAACGGGATTGTCTGAGTTTATACGTCATGAGTAGCTAGCTATTGGCCTGGAGGACATAGCGCGGCGTAACCTATGTCATGACGTCACTCATAGGATGCCGGGTTGAGTCGTCTGCTGGTACCCCGCATTTCCTGCGCTTTTCCCACCGCGTGTTTTAGGGGCGAAGCTCCTTAGGGCGTGGGCTGTGCGTCCCCTGTAGCCTGTATGTAGCCACCTCTAGTTTAGTTCTTGCAGTGTTCACTAGATGGCGGTACCGTCTCCTGTATGTAGCCACCTCTCGTTTAGTTCTTGTAGTGTTTGCTAGATGGTGGTACTTGTAGCTGATGATGAAAAGATGCAAGATGTTATAAACTAGAAAGCGGTACTTGTAGTTGATGAAAGACGCGAGATCTTATAAAATAGGAATGATGTCACATATGGCGCGTGTCATTGGTTGAAGGCAATCGTTCGATTTAGTGCGGCGACGTACGCTAGGGGGAGCGATGTAATAAAATCGAGTGGGCAAAATGTACAGAGGATTCATGGTTTACCAGGTTTACCTCCGGAGCTTCGCCCACTCATCATCATTCACTTCGTGGATATGGCGGAATTTTTTCTTGTGTGCAACGTGCGTGCTTCCCACTTGTCATAAAGTTCTTTATTTAGGGGCGAGGCTCCTTAAGGCGTGGGTCTGTCCATTCCTTGTATGTATGTATGCAGTGCATAGCCACCGGTGGCACATACCGGCTCTAGAGTGGGTATGTGCCACAGGGGATGCGAGATGGGAGGATGGTACTTGGAGTGTTCACTATAGATGGACGCGCGGACGGACGAACAGACAGACTAGCAGACGGATGGATAGACGCACGGAAGGACGCACGAAGAGACAGACAGGCATATAGATGTACGGACTCACGGGCGGACGCACAGACAGACGTACGGACGCATGCATAGACACGCGGACGGACGGAAGCAAGAATGAACGAACGGACGGACGGAAGCACAGACGGGCTGACGAGCACTTCGCCCCACTCATCATCATTCACTCCGTGGATATGCTGTGATTTTCTTAGGATGGGGTATGACCTGACAAAGCTTCAGGTAACAGAGCTAGTGGTTACGTATCCATTCTGAAAGACGCGAACACGGACACGGGGAGGAAGTCACCTGTTGTTGTGGTGTGCTAACCCCGTGAGAATTCCCAGACTTTGTATAAAACGAGCCGCAGAACATTAATAACACGCACGCGTGCGGTTCAAATGCACAGCTGTCAACGAACACATGTGAATGGTGGGCGGGGAAAATTGACAAGCATGCTTAGAAGCAATCATGGGATCTGCAGGGCCAATTTTCTTGCCCTCCACTGCTCTTTTTAGTTGTGCCCTAATAATATTCACCGTCATCGGCGTTTTTTTAATTTATTACTTCATCTACATTTATGTTAGTTCTCAGCGTCTTCGATGATATGGTTAATGTGACAAAATGTTTGTTTCCAAAGGACCACGCCGTGAGAACTAATGGAGACGTGGGGGGTCTTCTTTTTACTTATTTTGTCAATTTACAGTGAGCCTGTCGTTTTCAATCATCAGTAAATTATTCGGCGAACGCACGCCATGAGCTGCCGGGAGCCTTCGTGAGCATGCCTCAGCTCACCTATATTTGCCTGGTAACATGAATGCCAGTCTTCAACTGAACTTGAAAGCAAAATTTGAGGTTAAGTAGCTTCCACATGTGCACCGATTTTAAAAATGGGCATTTATAGGCCCCTATAGGATTTTAGGCACAAACGTTACAAATAGGCATTCATAGGAACTATAAACACACTAGAAATTGTCTTTTAAATGGCTAATTCATGCTCATATATTAAAGTGGTGTGATAGGAACGCAAGAAACAAAATGGGCATTTGCTTATGATTTGGTCTCTAGTGATAACCTTAAATAATTTTTCCAAAGGCACCTCCTGTGGTCTCCATCCAGATGGTATCTGCACAACATCCTAGCTGCTTCGTCTAAATCGAGGATGCCATACGATATGGTTTGTCTACATCGCAAAAGAAAGGGACGGAAAAAAACAAACCACAATACATGATGCACAATTTACAACACATTGCTAAAAACAGCTTTCGATTTTGGCCATAAAAATGAAGGTATTTTACGTTGAAGCAAATTCACACCTTGGGCTACTTGGCGGTTGTTCGTGAAATAAGGACGCAACATAAAAAACTGACACAAGCACTGACATTCCCTTCTACGTGTTATCTCTGATTTACTGTAGATTATTCCATGATTACTCCTTGCATGACACCAACATCTAAATAACTGCAACTTCTAACCGATTCGCAAGCAGCTTGTCGACAGTTTCAGAAAGGAAGAATTTCCAAGCAAGCCTTAGAAATTCTCGCCACTGCAGTCAAGACGAATCTCCCAGACACGTACATCATTTGGACTCCAGGTCACGAGCCCCTGATGGGAAATGAGGCAGTCAATGCTTTTGCCCGAGCTCATGTTCACCGGGCCATCCCACAGCACGCGCTGAGAAGGAAAGAAGATGCACCTAAAAAGTATAATATACTGCAGCACTACAGGATAAATCGAAGAATTTATCCGCCAGCTCACACCAGCCTGACTCAGGAAGAGGCAGTAATCCTCAGGAAGCTACTAAGACCTACGTTTACGGTACGCTTCTTCACCGCATCTCACCAACCGAGTGCTTGTACAACTGCAAGCACTGTGATGTCAGAGAAACACTATTCTATATGGTATAGAGATGCAGACAAAGCCCTGGAGCCACTGCGTTAACCGAAGAGCAGAGAGATGGCGAAGGCCCGCGGCTACCTGGAATAAGGAGGTCGCCCACCTTGGGCGCACCATGCATTTGCTCAAATAAGTTTATTCTCTCTCACAAAGAAAATGCTAGAGCAGCTCAATGGCGCAGTGGGTCCATTAACGAAGCTGGTCTCCAAAGCAGTTTCAAACCCCTGTCAATGGGTTAACATGGCCATGGGGCACTGTAGGGAAGAAATAAAGAAAAGCAGTCTTCTAAATAAGCAAGAAAACCAGTGAAGGTCACAAAACCAAACAAAGCCTTTTATTAAAATGCACAATTACAGAGGGAGGGATCGGCTTGAGCAAAGTTTCAGTCCAAGTCCTGCAACCGGATCGTAGCTCCTATGTCTGACGTGGCAGTGTGTTCGGCCAGCACGGCCAGCTCAGAGTATAAATCTCCAGGGCTCTCATCCTGCAGACAATGCGATGTTAATTCAGAGCAAGCACATAACACATACGCCACTCAAGTCACACCGGCCAGGTTCATTAACCCTTTCAGAGTCAATGACATAGAGTTCGAGTACTCATGGATACAAACTAGACAACAAATTTTTTAGTAGAGTCTAACATACTTATAATGATTCCAAATATAGTAGACTCCCGTTGATAGAAACTTCACGCGAACAGCAAAACCTTGAATTAGACAAACTTCCAATTAGGCAAAATGCACAAAAACTGCACTTTTGTAGCTTGACACCTGACACAGGGGTGCAACAGCCTAAATAAAAATTGCAGCAATTTTTGGAGCAGCAGGATCGTACTTTTGGAGCATTAAATTCAAATTTGTAGCGGGTTTCGGGAAATAAAAGATCATTTTTTATCATGATGGATCACATTCGGAGCAAAGAAGGCTTACTTTTAGAAAAAAAAAAGTATGTTTAAGCCATCAAACATCACCTAAATCATGCTAAGTAAACATGAGCACTACTGTTTCAATAAAACTAGTATTTTTATCTACCCCACTGAGCGAACAATGATAAAGTTCACATTAGCACTTGCGGCGACTGTCAAATCCTTTGCAGAATCGGTAAATTAAAATATAGATCTGTAAAGCTGGCAACCTCGAAATTCAAGGGATTCGTGAAACTGAGGTGTAGGGGTGCCAAAGAAAAAAAAAACTTGAGCAGTTTTGTCTTTTTTGTTTTTTTAGGGCGGTAGAAGTGTCATACACTGCTCCGAATGATTGCCAGTAACGTTTCAGACATCAGCGATCATACTAGTCCTCACAATTATGTGGTGGTATACACGCATGAGTAATTGAACAAAATTTGCTGTCCCGTGAGTAATGCTAACAGCCCTTTTCAAATCATGATACGCTTTTCCACAGGACACCAGTGTATTGCGGCGAAGGTTTAAGCAGAGTTCTGCATAGATTAGAACAAGGCTAATAAATTTTCGAACCCCCCCCCCCCCCCCCCTCTTTTTTTCACGATGGGAGTTAGGTTTAGGGCAAAACATCTACGCTCACTTGTAAGGCGCGTTCTACCAGTTAAAGTAACAGCGGCGCAGGCCCGTTGGTCCGGCAACAGCATCAGATATCTATCGCCAGGACGACGCAACTAACGCTACTTCAAAACAGAAAAATGTTTTATGTGCGATTGCTATGGCGACCAACGTGGTCGCCGGCAACGGCAGCGTACGCAGCATGTCAAATCTGTTCACACACCAAAAACGCGGTATGCACTCACAGCTCTAGTCGCTAACATGCCATAGCCGCTTTGGCTGACTAGGAAGTTCATATTTCTGGCAAAGCGTTCATGGCTGTCGCAACGTCATCTCGCCGATAGGTATTCATTACGGCCAGCAGACCAATGGGCGCACAGTTTCATTACTTTATCTGGTCGATCGCGTCACACAAGTGCCCTGACTTAATGGGATTAAGGTTAGCGTGGTTAGGTTACCGTGATTTAAGGGTACATAGTCTGCGTGCTTAGATTAATTGACGACTGAAACTGGAGGTCGGCAACGTGACCTCTATTTCTGACTGAAATTAGCACAAGTGAGAAAATTTGAAATACAACACATCTTGGTTTTGGGGCCAGGAGTAAGAAGCAGCTTTCCGTAAGGCGAAACAATGCCTTCAAAATGCAGCTATGCTTGCCCACCATGATCCCAAGAGACCCCTCAAGTTGGAATGTGACGCCTCGCAAGAGGGAATAGGGGCCGTGCTTTTCCGTACATTCGGAAAAATCAACATACCCATCGGTTTCCGATCTAGGACTTGGACAAAGGGGGAAAAGAATTATTCAAAATTAGAATGCAAAGCCTCTTGTGTTTGGAGTGTGCAAATTTCGAGACTACCTAGTAGGTCGAGAATTAATTTTAGTGATGAATTATCAACCATTGGTGAGCCTGCTGAGGGCGGACCAAGCAAGTCCAACCTTGGCTGCCACCAGAATACAATGCTGGGCGCTGTACTTGGGTGGGTTCCGCTACCCACTGGAATATTCTCCCCGTAAGCAGCTGTTGAAAGCTGACGCCCTCAGTTGATTGCCGAAACACACCACAGATCTGGAACCTCCCGAAGCAGATCCACCAGGCTACGTACTAGCTTTGGTTGGTTTCAACGAGAAAACTGTGTCAGTTGAAGAACTAAAGCAGTTTACGACAGGTGACTCACTCCTGAGTGAAGTGATAGAATTCATGAAAGACGGCTGGCCGTCAAACGAAAAAGGTGTGAATGCGAACATGAAACCTTTCACGGAGAAGAAATCGGGGCTGTCAATGGCTCACGGCTTGTTGTACTGGGGCCGTTGAGTAGTCGTTCCGACGGAGGCGCAACGTCGTATCTTATACCTTTTGCATAAGACGCATCAGGGAGAGTCTGCTATGAAAGCGGTCACAAGATCATCATTTTGGTGACCAGCGTTAGGCCGCGATATAGAGCGAGTTGCTTCATTATGTCACAACTGTGCTCAAAACATGCCGATGGCGACATCAGCAATACCAATGAATTGGCCCGCAACAACAGAGAAATGGTCAAGAGTGCATATTGATTATGCTGGTCCTATTGCAGGAAGCATGATTCTTGTGGTTGTCGACGCACACAGCAAGTAGATCAAAGCCGTGCTGCTCAGACAAGCCAACACTGTGATCACAGTCAGCTGTTTGCATGCTATATTAGAAATGGTCAAGAGTGCATATTGATTATGCTGGTCCTATTGCAGGAAGCATGATTCTTGTGGTTGTCGACGCACACAGCAAGTAGATCAAAGCCGTGCTGCTCAGACAAGCCAACACTGTGATCACAATCAGCTGTTTGCGTGCTATATTCTGCCGATTAGGCGTGCCACGAACAAACGTCTCTGACAACAGGGTGCAGCTTACCAGTGACATGTTCTTGACTTTTGTTAAGATGAACAACACAACGCACCTGCGCATGGCTGTTTATCATCCTCAGTCGAACGATTTGGCAGAAAGAGCAGTCAGGACCATTATAGATGGCCTAAAGAAGTTAGGAGGGGCACGGTTGAAAGATAACCTGAACAAGCTGCCTTTCAATTACAGGAGGACTCCCAATACCTCTGGGAAATCGCCATCTGAACTTCTCTCTGCGTAACAAATAAGAGCCCGTTTCGACGCGTAATTCCGCCTGTATACGCAGGATCCACCAATGATGCCGATGAATGGCCTCTGCCATCACCTAGCGCAGCTGCGTATGCTCGGAACTTCAGAACGGGGGAACGATGAACGCTAGGAACTGTCGAGTCCACTGCTGGCTCTCGGATGGTTGGAGAGCGAATGCCAAACGGTATAGTGAGATGACACGTCGACCAGTTGCGGAAGTGGGACTTTTTGATTCCAACGCTGGGCTCAGATCTAGGACCAGAGAAGGAAGCATCAGAAGCAGGCACTTCTAGCGACCATTAACAGTCGTCGACGCCGTCAGTTGAACAGAGGAATGATGCAGTAGGTAACGAAGTTCACCCTGAAGCCACAACTAGCAACACTACCACAGCCATACCCGAAACACTACCCCAAGCCCTGCGGCACTCTACTCTACAGCGAAAAAAAGGAAGAGAGATGTTGGAAAGTAACGTCAGTCCTATAGAACTCATCTCCAAGTGCTAGTGGCGCATGCCTTTGTGCTTGCTATCTTACCCTTGACCTTCCCCCCTTTAGTTGCTATATACACACTTCCAAGTGGGAGGAATAAACGATTCTGTTTTTGCTTGTCAACTAGATGCTGTCCTATTCAGTACAGGCATCGTCGTGTCGACGCATTATAACACTCTGGACAGCAATTCTTGCCTTCTATATGAGATGTCTCTTATATACAGGGTGCTATTTTCCTATCAACTCGTATTTTACAGTAGGCCCACTGCTGGTGTCTATTATATCAGTGTTTCTTATAAAGGGGTTCGACTGTATCATTCACACACAACGGTACCCACCTGTTGCATGAGAGCGGCAGCGGACGACGTTAGGACCACATCAATAGCACCTGCAAATAAAGAAGTCAGCAGAGGCTTAATGCACCACGAGCGATGCCATTAAAAAGCCAATGAATGAACACAATTACTGCATAAAATATGACACTCAAACCTCCATCTACTGAGAGACACTGGTCCTAAAAATGGAAATTTTTAATGAGATATCAAAACAAAATTAGGCATTTGTGCATTTAGTATTTCTTCAGCCTGCTAATAGACCGAGTATGCAAAATTGCTGCCATATGTCGGCCATCGTGTGCATAGCCACCATGCTAAAGGCTCAGCGCGGCGCAATATGCACGGTCCGCGTGTGCTTACGTGTACGTATCTTTCAGGCGTATCGATGTGAGGCATGTGTTGGCTGATAACCGCAATGCCCAAGTATTGCTGCGTCTCTTGCTGCACACAGAGAGGAACTCAAAATGCTGAAGGAAAAAAGGTGAGCCATAAACTGATTGATATGTGGGGTTCAACATCCCAAAACCACCGTATCATTATGAGAGATGCCGTAGTGAAGGGCTCATGAAATTTCAACAAGCAGGGGTTCTTTAACGTGCACTCAAATCTGAGCACATGAGCCTACAACATTTCCGCCTCCATTGGAAATGCAGCCGCCGCGATCCCGCGACCTGCGGGTCAGCAGCCGTCAACTTTGCCTTTTGTTATTTTTGCAAGCCTATGACGTATCCAGCATGTGCGGCCACTGCTCCTGAAACACGTGTTTGCGTTCTCCTTTATAAGCAAGCAAAACGCGAAACCCCATTTGTATTCGTTTTCCCACAAATTGCTGCACGCCAAAGCAAAACACGTGATTCGAAAGCAGTAGCCGCACACTTTGGATACATCATAAGCTTTAAAAAGTAACAAGGGACAAAGTTAGCGGCTTACCTTTTTCTCTACAGTATTCAGAGTTCCTCTCTGTGCACAGCAAGGGATGCAGCATTACGTCGGCATTGCGATTATGAGCCAATACACGCCTCACGTTGGTAGGTGTACGTAAACATACGTGGACATACGTACACAGACTGTGCGTAATGCACTGCACTGAGCTTCTAATGCGGGCTATGCTGCCATCTGTCAACTGTGTACATGGGGGCTATGCACACAGCCGACAGATGGCAGCAATTTTGTATAAAGTCTATATACCAAGTTTTATTGCGATAGCAATTATATGGACACTCCCGGCTGTATTTCGCCGTCGGCGTCGATGTCATGCAGTGTATATGTATACATATCTATATATATGAAAACGCAAGACGGAGAAAAATCTAGAAAAAAAGACGAATGCGAAGCGTTAACCACTGAGCCACCGAGGGGCACCTCCTTGAATGTTAAACGGCAAGCTATTCATATCTACCACTTTACCCTGCTGGCGGGCATCTCGGGGGGGGGGGGGGGGGGGGGGGGTGTGACTATCATGTTTTCAGCCTTATCAGGAAGATGGTGCTATGAGTGCACGGCGGCTCTCATCTCTCACGCGTACTTTGGCCGGCGGAGAGGAGGGGACAATCTCTTGTGTGTCGTTATCTAGCAGTGGGGAGGAGGGGAGGATCGTACATTTTGGCTGGCTTGGGCTTTACCTGGAATGATTATGTTGTAGTTACTGTGTGCACAAAGGTCACTGCAATCAGCGCAGTCTCCGATTGTGAAGAGTGCGTGCTTTTCAGACACAATGAAGTAACAATTGAGACACTTATTCGCGTTTATCTGTACCTCTGAGTACCATGGAGGAAGGAAAAACTGATGAGAGGCCCTATCGTATCCCTATGCATTGCGAGAATTGTGGCGGTGACGTCAAATTTATGGGGCAAACAAACCGGCATAGGGCAAGCAAAACAGCAGACGCTCCGCGGCGTGCTCTCAGCGCTGGTCCGCTTCTGCACGGACGTTAGTCCCGGCGTAAAGTTGAGGCGGATTGTATGGTTAGCATGCAGTAAAATGTTGTGAGCACACCTTTCCCAGACTGTTCGTGCGTGGCAGGCCTGAGTGTGGTGTGCTGAAATACTTCATGGAGTGTTTTTGTGCAACATCATAGAAAGCACCAGTACGTGCCATAATTAAAATTATTCAGCCCTTACATCCTCGTATTTGAACTCACCCGGCAGTGGCTTAAGCATTCTGCTCGCCATAAGGCCTTTTTTTTTTCTCTCTCTAAGCCATATTTCCCTATCTACGGGCCGATTAGCAGTTCTTTACTCATATTTTGTACCAGTGTGGCAATGCACGATTTTGAGAGCTTGCTTCGTAGCTATTCTGTGCAATGCCAGCTTCGTACTTGATGTACTTCACGTCGATAAGAAGGCACCATCGTATTGTATACGCGATCGTGCACGTAAAGTATGTGATTCCAGTGCACTCACAACTATCATGAAGCTAGCGCACACCATACAATACATACACACTTAGTCCGTTAACAAGAAACGTTTATTGTCTTTCCGTATGAATGACACAAATTCTGAAAATTGATCGACAGTGAAGCAAACATACTTCAAAAGTGCCACCAGGTACATCCAGCAGTGCATGCGATTCACACCGAGTACACACTACAGCTGGGCATCGCACAGCTTTCCTAAAAAAACACGGAAAAGACTAGTTCTCGTGAATTGACTCCCCGCCGGCAGAGAACACCTACTACTCCGCCGGAGCCGCTCCCAAGGCCACTGCGGTGGCTGCTCGCCGGAAATGGCGAAGTGTTTATCTGCTTTTCCGCTAGGAGGCAGTATGGGTGTTTGCGATGCAGCGACTTCACGAATATGGCGACATGGCCTCTCCTTAGTTTTTCCTTCCTGCATGGTGAGTACACTTCGTGTGCCATTTGTGCGTGAAAAACGTGGGGCATGTTTCGATCTGCTTGCCATTCTGCGTGTGACCTTCCAATTTGTTGCTATCGAGTTCATTGCTTCGCCTCTGCGGCAAAGCTGTGACTTTTTTAGCTAAATTAGTTCTCACGTTGCAGGAAAGTAAATCAAGTCTCATCAGGTAATTTCTTACGGGTCATTAAGACACTTAGCATCCATATTTCTTGGTTCTTTACAAAGAGGCTCTAACCATGGGTCTGATACTATTTCTATTGCTGTTGAGATGCATCATCCGGCAATCATCAATGCTCCACAATTTTGAAATACAAGTAACTCACATTATTGTTCACAAAATTTCATATGTCCACTTTAGCAGTACAAAAGCACCATAGCTCCACAGTTCAAATATGAGTTCGATGATAAAATATTCACTTAAACTGCAACAAGAAATTTATAAAAAGTTGCGTAAGCCTGGTGAGGTTGCCTAAAAAAAGACGCAAAGCTGAGAAAACTGCATTTGAAGGTTCAACGTACATAAACTGCAGTTATCTCAGGAAATCTTCAACAACAAATTATGTAGACATGTTCACTATCTCTGCCCTTACAAAGCAAAAACAGTGTCTTATTCCATTCAAGGAACCATTTAAAAAAAATGTCCCGAGTATAAGGCGCGATGAAAATCTGAGCTTCGCTAAAACAGGCAGTTGGGTGGTTAAAAAAAATACCGTTGGCTGCAAGGCCCAAGCAGCGCATGTCTTATCAGTCTTTTTTTATTTATTTAATTTCAATAAATATACTGCAGACCTAAGTACGGCAGTAAATGCAGTATGAGTGGTTGCAAATGAGTAAGGAAATCATTCTTGAAAGAGATAAAACAGCGCTCTTTCCTGTCCATGTTCTCTCTTCCTACAGTTGCCATGCTGTTACAGTGGAATCTCATTCATTCGAACACGCTTAATTCATTGATTTGTGGGGTTTATTGTCCCAAAACCACCATATGATCATGAGAGACGCCGTAGTGGAGGGCTCCGGAAATTTTGACCACCGGGGGTTCTTTAACGTGCACCCAAATCTGAGCACACGGGCCTACAACATTTCCGCCTCCATCGAAAATGCAGCCGCCGCAGCTGGGATACGAACCCGCGACCTGCGGGCACGCTTAATTCAAACTTCCGGTTTATCCAAACTCACGATGAGGTCTCGTCAAAGCTACGACTATTCCAATGAGCGAAAACGCTAGGTAATTTGAACGCCCAAGCACTTTCGACGGTTAATTCGAACATACCGCACTCCGAAAATGCTCTCAGCACCCCGCCCAATCCCGCGGCGGCACTTGCGACACTTCAACGCTACCTGCGGAGAAAATGAAAAAGAAAGAAAAGGCTGCGGTGGCATGTTTGCTCTCTCTCAAATCTGCGGTGGGATGTTTGCTCTCTTTCAAATGCCGATCTGCGACGCGCCCGCATAACGCTTCTCCCTTTTCCGTCCCTACCAAGTAAAGATCCTTCTCCTCCCAATGCCGCGCGCGAAGAGAGAGAGGTGAAAAAAAGAAAGCTGTCGCTGGGTTGAATAAATGTGTCGTTGAAGGAAAGACACTATCTTCTGCAGCCCTTGCCCCTTGCGGGAGCATGGCTCTGCTGCGCCTTGAAGGGGTGGGGTTCTCTCACGCTTCCCCCATTTCCTTACCTGCCACGTAATCCTTCTCTTTTCAACGATGCGCGCGAATAGAGAAAAAAAAATGCTGCCGTGGAATGTTGGTTGTCTCTCAAATGCCGATCTGCTTCTCTTCGCGTGGAGACGCTACTCCTTTCTCGTCACGTGCTGGCCAAGCTGGTGCTGCATAGCGGAGAGCGGGAGACTCCGGGAGGCTCCGCTACGCAGTCGTTGTCATCGTCTTTAGAAAGTGTCGGTGCTGGACATTTCCGCACGCCACTTCTCTTGCCAGGAGAATGCTAAAGCCGCAGTATAAATGCTTTGCAAGCTGCGTGCGAAATTGATTGACTCGCTGCAAGGCAAAGGTGTGCAGACGTGCACCACTAATTGCTTCAATTAATGATGGATGTCCTGTGATTTGTGAATGTAAGTCTTCTGGAACTTCCCCCTCGTGTGTTAGCTCAATGCACATGCGCCACTGCATGGAGAGCCCCCCGTTTATTTATCTTTCATTAATTCGAACTTTTTTTAATTGAAACTAATTTTTGGGCCCTGATTTG